CAGTGACTACAAATTATAATTTGTTGGTCTTTCTTCTGGAAAAAAAAATATTTTATCAAAAACACGAGATTTACAATTGAAATTAAGTCAAGAAAATGTGACATTTGCAATTATAAATTACAGAAGCTTAATTTATTTCACATCGTATTTTATAATTTAATGAGCCTCACAGGCAGAGATTACAAGATGTTATGTATCTTACCTGCTCTGTTGAAGTGTGGGACAAGAGTCTTTGTGTCCAAAGCTGTTTAACAGCTTGCTTCCAGAGCTAACAGCCTCCTGTGTTAGGTAGAACAATTAAATTAAATTAAAGACAAACAAAAAGCTTAGTGCTACTTCTTGTGCCATGCTTTATAAAACAGTTATTGAATCAAGTATTTACTTATGTAGGTAAACATAGATGTTTTAAACCTGTTAAAATACACCAGAATGCAGGAAATAGCAGCTGCTTTATTCAAAAAGTTATGGGGGAGGACCCACAGACCTCGCACCAATATGTCCCCCCTACAATAATTCTAATGACACATCTCAAACCAGGAGCCATTGTCCACAGTGGGGGGGTTTAAGCCCCCTAAAAAGGGCTCTAGAATCGCCCCTGGTGTGAAGAAATGAACTGATAAAAACCAACTCTTGGCCTGTCACGTGAGTTCTAACAAGGTTGACTCCGGTCCCGCTGTGACCCGCGGTACTCCTGACAGTCGTCCTCTACTCTGCTGGTTACAGTTTTAATCTGTTAAATTTTTCTCTCTCCCTTTCAGTCTCCCAAAAAAGTTGGTGATGACATCGCCAAGGCCACCGGTGACTGGAAGGGCCTGAGGATCACCGTGAAGCTGACCATTCAGAACCGTCAGGCTGCTGTGAGTAGACTCTTCCATGTTAACTAAGTTCTGTACGTGTCATTACATGCGTGTTGTTTTTACACCGTGCCCCGACACTACTTCTGTTGTGATTTGGTGCCCTGTCAATAAATTGAAATGAATTGGTTTGACATTTTACATCACAACAAAAACTGAAGCCATTGAAAGGTTGTAACTGAGTCCTGCAAGATTCTGGTCAGTCAGTTTTATTGTCATTCGTACCTCATGTGGTACATGTGGTGGAGAGAAATTATGTACGCAGGGTCCCAGTTACATCCAACAATAAAATGTATAAGAAAAACAGTAATAACATCTAAGATATGAACTAAGAAAAACTTCAACTAAATATACACTAAGCACTCATAACATAAAACATTGAACATCAGCACAAACATGAACATGAGTCTGTGAGCAGATGTGCACGCATGAACACATCAACATTGAAACAGATCAGCAGCAACATGAAACAGATCAGCAGCAACATGATATGGTTTTTCACAGTGATTATTCTAGTTAGAGATTCATGAGTCCAACAGCCTCAGGGTAGAAGCTGTTCCTCAGTCTAGTGGTTCTACACTTAATGCTCCTCAACCTCCTTCCTGAGGGGAGTTCAACACCAAGTTCTGCGTTGGTTGAGCAGGCTGCGGTAGCTCTGTGTCCGTGGTTGCGTCAGGAAGAACATCTGGTGTAAAAACAAGTGCAGTTTTCGTTGGTGTTGGTTCACTATGATCGCTGAAGAGCTGGGGGGGGGGGTGTATCCAGGTAAAGCCCATTGAGGTCATAAGTTTTGCAAGAGGCAAAATTTTGTCTAAATGTTGAGCATTTTTTCATTGTGTGTTAAAGATGCACATCATTTTGTGTTGTCAGATTGAAGTGGTTCCCTCTGCTTCTGCCCTGATCATCAAAGCTCTGAAGGAGCCTCCTCGTGACAGAAAGAAGGTCAAGAACAGTAAGTGGCTGTGTTTACCTCGTCGGTCCGGCGTGGAGCGGCTCGCTACACTCTGGCTTTCTGTTCTTGAACTTTCCAGTTAAGCACAGCGGCAGTGTGACGTTTGATGAGATTGTGGGCATCGCTCGCACCATGAGGCCTCGCTCCATCGCCAGGGAGCTTTCTGGTAAGACTTGGTACTTTTGTTTCGAGTTGCACTGAACCAGCCTCCCGCCACTATACCAGTCTGTCTGTGGCCGAGTATACTCCAGTGGAGGCTCAGAGCGACCCGGCTTTAGGAAACAGAACTGTCCACACTAATGGACAACTCTGTGCCGAAAAGTCTGGAACACAAACTGTTGGCACAAAGCTGAGTTCAGACCCCTGCTCACCTCACTGATGATGTCCGCTCTGGTCCTCATCAGGAACCATCAAGGAGATCCTGGGAACGGCTCAGTCTGTCGGCTGCACCATTGATGGTCGTCCTCCTCATGATGTCATCGATGATATCAACAGCGGCAAAGTAGAGTGTCCGTCTGACTGAACGGGAATCGTTTTAAATAAAACATTGACAAACTAATCTTTGGGTTGTTTTTTCCCCTCCCGTTTTATAAAACTTAAACTTCAAAGGTTCATTTTCATGCAGAAAAATAGTTTAGTTTATTTTGTGTCCACGTGAAAAAAAATCCGGACCAGCTGCATCTAAAGATGAATCAAATCACCCGACACTTGAACATTAGTTCTGGACGGAGGAAATTGTGATTAAACTTTTGATGTGTTGTATATTCTTGATTTAGCTTGGTACGTTGTATTCTACCACACGTTTTACTCACTTGTACCCATTTCAGTGCATCGACGGTCGAACTGGTTACAACAGGAAGGTGTTCAGTATGAAGATCTCGTGTTGTGGAAAAATTATAATTTCTCCTGTGGTTAATGGGATATAAAGGAACGCAGGTGAAAACATTTTGTTAGTGTGAAGTAAAACAATCTTGCCAAAGATTTAAGTTTCATTTGTCATACACGCCACGTGGAATGAAATCGTGTACTCTGGAGCACACGAGTATGAATGAACACGACAACGTGAAACGGATCAGCAGTGATTAGTCTGGTTAGATTCATGAGTAACGGCCTCAGGGTAGAAGCTGTTCCTCAGTCTAGTGGTTCTACACTTAATGCTCCTCAACCTCCTTCCTGAGGAGTGGGGCAAAAAGTGTGTGTGCTGGGTGAGTGTGGTCCTTCATGATGCAGGTGGCCCTCTTCCTGCATCTGGAGGTGTAGATGTCTGTGATGGTGGGGAGACTGACTCCAACATCTTCTGTGCAGCCTTCACCACTCTGCAAAGCTTTTCTTTCTGCAGCTGTGCAGCCTCCATGCCACACGTTGATGCTGGAGCACAGGATGCTCTCCACTGCACACCTGGAGAAGGAGGTGAGGACTGAGCTTCCAGACCAGCTGCCTGAGGAAGTAGTCTGAGCTTTCTTGATCAAGCTGGTGGTGTTGCCCCAGCTGAGGTGGTCGTTCAGGTGCACACAATGGTTGATTTGAACCGGAACAAGATGTGGGAACTCATTTTAACCAGTTTCGGCAACTGCCCCTAAAAGTCCAGTCATTGCATTTTTTATTTTGATTATTAAAAAAATAAGAGAGTTGTTGCCTTTAGACCGGTGAACCCAGTCTGGAGTGGATGTTCCAGCTGCAGCATGTGCACCAGCTACACGCTCCTTGGAGGAGCCTCTGGGCGGGGGGTGCAGGTGAGGATGGAGGGACAGATTATCACATTTACGCACGGAGTCCTCTCCAAATATTGTCCCTATGCGGCTGGACCGTGCACTAAAAAACACCCTCTCAGACCCTGAAACAGAAACGATCATTTATTCAACAATAAATAAATTCCTGTGGAAAGTGCACGTTATGCACAGAAACGTCTCCAGACAGCTCTACACAGTCCTGTTGGAAAATGAAATTTGCATCTCCATAAAGTTGGTCAGCTGCAGGAAGTCTCTAAAACTTCCTGGTAGACGGCTCTGTTGACCTTGGACCTCGGAAAACAGAAGCCTTCAGTAAGGTCCAGAAAGTTGAAAAGCTTTTCAGAACAATGACCGGTCAATCTTTCATGGAGCTCCCAACACCATGGAGAGAAGCACGTCTATCAGAAAGCATGAGTCCTTCACGTCATGATGTGCAAAGAAAATTAACCAGCAGGTTCATCAGGCTGAGACTAAGGGTGCATTCACACTAGCCCCGTTTAGTCCACTTTAATCCAACTCTAGCTAGTTTTCCTAGAAAGTCTGGTTGGTTTAGGGAGGTGTGAACGCGCCATCGAACTCTGTCACGGAACAAAAAGGCGAACTCTGGCCCGGGCTAAAACCTAGGTCTCGGTCCGGTAGAAGAGAACTCCAACGCGGTTCGAGTGCAGTGTGAATGTAAACAGACCGGGCCCCGCTCCGCAGGGTAAACAAACACGCATTTCTCTTACCTTATATGGAGCCGTCAGCTGCCTAGTGTGAAAAACAATATTCTCCATGGTCTTCTGTCTCATCTTCTGCTCATGCGGAGTCCATTTTTGAAAAATGACAAAATATAACTCCTAAAACTGATAAAACTTGATGCCACTTCGTTTTTATTTACAGAAGAAGAAGAAGACGTGTCTTCAGAGGTTTTTGTGTCGTTTCTTTCAGTAGTTCTTGGTGCAGCGCCCCCACAAGCGAGTGGGGGAACAGGTTGGTTCAACAGGTTGGCTCGACTGCACAGTGCAGTGTGAATGCAAACGCACCAGCTCAAATGTAACAAAAGGTCATGAATATTGGTCCCGAACTGAGTCTACCGGACTATCTGGTGTGAAAACGACTTTGCACCAAGAACTACTGAAAGAAACGACACAAAAACCTCAGACGCTTTTTCTTCTTCTGTAAATAAAAAATAAAAACGAAGTGGCATCAAGTTTTAGCAGTTTTAGGAGTTATATTTTGTCATTTTTCAAAAATGGACTCAGCATGAGCAGAAGATGAGACAGAAGAACATGGAGAATATTGTTTTCCACACAAGGCAGCTGACGGCTCCATATAAGAGAAATGCATGTTTGTTTACCCTGTGGAGCGGGGTCCGGTCTGTTTACATTCACACTGCACTCGAACCGCGCTGGAGTTCTCTTCTACCGGACCGAGACCTAGGTTTTAGCCCGGGCCAGAGTTCGCCTTTTTGTTCCGTGACAGAGTTCGATGGCACGTTCACACCTCCCTAAACGAACCGGACTTTCTAGGAAAACGAGCTAGAGTTGGATTAAAGTGGACTAAACAGGGCTGGTGTGAATGCAGCCTGAGACTAGCAGCAAAACAAATTCAATGAGAGAACAACAGTTCTGTCCAGTGCTGAGCATCTTGGAAATAAAAGCCAGACAAAAAACATGAAGAAAAAACAAACAGCATCTTGTACGACGACAAGCCCCCACCAAACACCTTCTTTAATTTCACTGATTCTGCTTAAGTTATAAGACTTATAATAAAGTTCTATTTCGTATAGGCTTCGCCCTTTAAGACTGTCGCTGGTGGGTTTATCCCTAGGTGCTCAGAGCAGCACTGAACACTTTAGTCCACGCCCGCCTGCTGTGTGGGCCTCACCCCCGGTCCGTATAAATTACGGTGAGACCGGGTAATCGGCTCCCATTTTTTCTTCAGCCAGCTAGCTAGCACTGTCAGAAGAATGAAGAAGGAAAAGTTGTCCAGCTTTGACCGGCACAACCTTTGCTAAGGATGCCTGGGTCTCTGCCACGCCAACCTCCTGCCGTCCCGGTGAGCTCTTCCTCCCCGAGGAGAAGCAGACGAGCAGCCTTGTTCAAGGTAAGTGCCGAGGAGTGCTTTTCCGTGGCGGGCCACTGGACAACACCATGGCCTTTCTAACGTTTTTCCCTCGCGGTAATCAAATGATTTCCTCGAAATAGGCCATGTTCGCAGCAGCCCTGCTGAATGTTTTTCGTGGAGGTCCGCTACCGGCTGAACGACGCCATCGCTTTTTCTAACGTTTTTTTCTGAAAGTAAATCAGATGATTCCCTCAAAAAGGCGATGTTGGCGGCAGCTCCGCTGAGTGTTTTTTTCTGTGGCGGGACGCTATGCGCGGGTTGACGCAGAGTCACGCAGTGAATCGAATGACTCCTCCGAGAAAGGCGATGCGGAGCTGCCCCCTCCCTCCTGGAGAGCGTAGTGACGGAAGACGAGCGACCGAGCCGATGCTCAGCCACCTCGGATCTTCCCACGTCTGCAACCACACCGCTCCCAGCCGTCGGCGCCCTCCTCTCGGAGCGGCCCGGCATAATCCAGGAGGGTGTTAACACAAGGGACTTTCCGTCCCTCGCCTCCCTCTGCCCTGCTCGATGATCTGGCGGCAAGGTTGGCTCCGCCCCGACCTGGCCTCGCTGTCCAGCTGTGACATCACACTGTCCAAACAATGGACCATATTGTCCATCCTCATGAAAACTGTGTTTAGGGCTCACCAGTAAGGATATTACGTTCAGATTTAATGTTACTGAATGTGACATTTCCAACATTGTGATAAGTTGTCTCCCTGTTATGCCTCAGACTTTGAAACCTCTAATCCATTAGAGGACAGAGTAACTGTGTTCAGCGTTAAACATTAGGGATGTATAGTCCCGAGAAAATAAACTAAATATCTTGTAGAAGTATTCAAGAGTTAAGGATACATCAAAAACTTTTTATTTCTTGTTTGTACATAAGTAATGTCATTAAAAAGTAACAACAAAATAACCAATTCTTTTTTTAAACGTGCACACAGTGATTTGAAGGGAAAAGCTTAAACTGAATGTTAACAGGAAAAGTTACAATAAATGATTTGTGTCAAAGTGGATTGTTTTTACCTTCTTTCTTTTACGACATTACTTTGTATGAATCATGTATGTGGAGGACTGTGTTCATCATGTGATCATCTGGCTGCACCAGTGGATCCTGCTGGTCCACAGGACTGGACCACACGCTGTGAAGCTGAACTTCATAACAGTATTCATGGTTCTTCTTGAGATGTAATGAGCAGCAACTAGTCACCTTTTCAACATCATGTAATAAAATGTATCAAATAAAAACTAAACAAAAGTAAGGCGCACAGAGGCGGGTCTGACTGTTTTCAATGCTTTCATAGATTTCTCAGTAAAACGAGTCACATAATCTGTCACGGTTGTAACTTTCATTTTAATCGACAGGTCCTGGTAATAAATAAATATAAAACCTCAAATAAGCAACAAATAAACCTGGTCTTGTGGGGGTTTTCTTACGGTTTTGTGGTTTTTTTTATCGCCGAGCGAAAAATGTCTTTTTAAAATAAAACTTGTCATGTTCACTTTAGCCTGACAGCAACCAAGACATGGAGTGTTTTTACAGTTTTTATACCAATAAATGTGTCAGAAGAGCTGTGAAGATGGACGTCTCTGTGGCCCTCTCAACACCCCGCGGCCATCAGGCCGGCGCGGTGGTGGATTATTAACAATATTCAAATCAACTTTTGACTGTAAACAACTGCCCATCCCAGTTTCCCGCGCCAGCTTTGAGCTGAGCGTCTTTGAACTCGGACATTCACCTCCGACTTTATTTGCACTCGTCTACCGCCCACCTCGGTCTAAGGATTTCATAAATGAGTTTTCTGACTTCTTGGCTGAAATCACACCAAAATATGAGCATCTTTTCATTATTGGGGACTTTAATTTGCACGTGTGCTGTCAGGAGAAGCCCTTGGTTAAGGACTTTTTAGATTTATTGGACTCATTTAATTTAACTCAGCATGTAAACGGTCCCACCCAAGAGCGTGGACATACTCTGGACCTTGTTTTAACTCATGATATGACTGTTAATAATTTTGTTATTTGTGATAATGTTTTTTCAGACCACATGCCAGTCCGGTTTGAGTTCACCCTCCCCCATCTAACTCCTAAGTCGTGCATTCCTGCACATAGGACTCGGACCATTAACCATTTCACTGCCACACGTTTCACAGATGTTTATAACTCTGAAATGATAATTCAGGCCCCAGTGTTTCTCACCACCACTGAGGAGCTGACATCCCAGTTCAACTCTGTCTGCTTAAAGACTCTGGATCATGTTGCGCCTGTTAAAACTAGAAAATCAAAACTCAGAGCAGAACCTTGGCTGAGTGACGTCACCAAGGCCGTTAGGCAGCAATGTAGGAGGGTGGAGCGAAAGTGGAGGAAAGACAGGCTGCAGGTCTCTTTTCAAATACTTAAAGAGAGTTGGCGCCGTTATCAGAAAGCAGTGAAAGCTGCTAAATCAAAATACTTCTCTGATATAATTACCTCAAACTCTCACAACCCACGTGTCCTCTTCTCCACCCTAAACTCTGTTCTCCACCTCACTGAACCATCACCTCTGGAAGCCTCGACTGAGCTGTGCGACAACTTCTTACATTTCTTTGTGGAAAAAATTGCGACCACCAGGGCTCTCATTTCCCCTCCAACTCATGACCCATCCATCCCACCTCAGTCTGTAGCTCTATTTGACCATTTTGAACCCATCACTCTATCTTCTCTAGAGCAGGTCATGTGCAACTTGAAACCTTCTGGCTCCCCCTTTGATGTGGTCCCCCCTCGACTACTAAAGGAGGTGTTTCCCACTCTAGGTCCGTCCATTCTTGATATAGTAAACAGTAGTTTATCCACTGGTGTGGTGCCAAAAACCTTTAAACATGCTGCCGTCCAACCTCTCCTGAAAAAACCAAACCTTGACCCCTCAGTCGTTTCCAACTTCCAGCCTGTCTCCAAACTCCCATTTGTTTCTAAAGTACTGGAGAAAATAGTTGAGTCCCAGTTGAAGTGCTTCCTGGAGGATCACGCCGTCTTAGAGCTTTTCCAATCTGGCTTTAAACCTCTCCACAGCACTGAAACTGCCCTGCTGAAGGTCTTTAACGACATCTTCAGATTCACAGATACCAGTGATTCTGTGCTGCTTGTCCTGTTGGACCTCACAGCCGCCTTTGACACCATCGACCATGAGATCCTCATTGTTAGGTTAGAGCAGTGGGTGGGTATCACAGGGTCAGCCCTCAATTGGTTCAGATCTTACCTCGCTGACAGATCCTTTTGTGTCTCCATCAAGGATTTTAGTTCTGCAGCGGCAGAGCTTAAATGGGGGGTTCCGCAGGGGTCCATCCTGGGTCCCCTCTTATTATCTTCATACCTGCTGCCGCTTGGTGCTATTTTCCGGAAACACAACATGCCCTTCCACTTCTTTGCTGATGACTGTCAAATTTACTTCCCCCTAAGACACAATGGTACATGCTCTATTCAACCTCTGCTCAACTGCCTGGCTGACATCAGGGTCTGGATGGCTTTAAATTTCTTGAGTTTTAATGAAAAGAAGTCTGAAGTCATGTTCCCTCCCAACGACACAATCACAAACCACTGCATCGACCTCTCCGCTCTAACCCTGCCAGAAAAACAAAGAGTCACTAATCTGTGCGTGATAATGGACCCTTCCCTGAAGCTTAACAATCATGTAAACATGATTGTTAAATCATGCTTCTTCCAACTGAGGCGGCTGTCTAAACTGAAGCCCATATTGTCCAAAAAGAACCTGGTGACAGTAATACATGCATTCATTACATCTAGGCTTGATTACTGCAATTCACTCCTGTTTGGTATCAGTCAGACCTCCATTGCACGACTACAACTGGTCCAGAATGCAGCAGCCCAATTTTTAACCAGTACAGGCAAAAGAGAGCACATTACACCAGTTTTGGCGTCACTGCACTGGTTACCAGTTCACCTTAGAATCCAGTTCAAAATACTCATGTATGTCTACAAATCACTGAACATTGACTGAACAGTTCCCTGAGGTCAGCGGACCAGTTGCTCCTCACAGTTCCAGGATCTCGTCTTAAGCGCAGAGGTGACAGGGCCTTCTCTGTAGCAGGACCAAGACTCTGGAACGAGTTACCTCTGTTTGTCAGACAGGCCCCCCTCCCTCTCGGTTTTCAAGTCCCGTTTAAAAACTCACTACTATTCAGTAGCTTTCAACACCAGAGGATCTGCGTTTGATCCTGTATGCTCCACTCTGGTTTGTCGTCATTATCTGCATCGTTTTTATGTCTATAATCTGATTTACCTCATTTTGTATTTTGCTTCGTGTGTTACCTGTTGTTTTGTCTGTACAGCACTTTGGTTGGCCTTGTTGCTGTTTTAAGTGCTTTATAAGTGGTATGGTATAATGGGGAACAGAATTTCACAATATACTGGCTCTTTCTGCCCTCTGGCTGCACGCGCATCCACCATCGCAGACTCTCGTCCAGATAAAATTACGATAAAAGTAAGATTTGACCCTATTGAATTGTTACAGGGGAATTCAAAATCTGAAAGTACTATCATTTTATTAAGATACTTGAACCAGGCTGGTTTGTTTATGAGTTTTATTTATTTTATCTTATTGAATGCCAGTCCAGTTCACACTCCTAAGCAGCAGGTGGCGGTAAAGGTCAGATTGTTCTCTTCCAACCGCTAAATAAAAACAAAGAAGAAGAAGAAGCTCGCAGAGCGGCGGGAGAAACAATCATGGCGGAGAGGCCCGAAGATCTGAACCTTCCGAATGCGGTGATCACCCGCATCATCAAAGAGGCGGTGAGTGTGAGCCGGTGGAGGTAGAAACCGCTTTATCCTCCGGCTGAACGGGAGCCAACACCTCAACCTCTTGTTCATAATCCCGCGGAGAACCGAAGTAAAGATTTACCACGAACACCTGAAACTGACAGAGAGAACACCGTGAGCTTTTAAACTAATAAAAACTAAACGGAGATGTATATCCAGGACAAATAAATGTATCTTAGTGCTGATATAGTTTAACAAGAACTAAAGCAGAAACGGTCACGCTGTCCGAGGCGCTCAGGCTATGCGCGCTCCCGCGGAGGTTGACCACAGTTTGATGTTCAGTCACTTTTTGCCACAACACCTGTCGTGTCAGTAGATAAAGACCGGTCACAATGATCTGGTTCGTGGCAGTTTTTTCTTTTTTTATTATTATTATTCAGGGAGGAGTGGTGGAGCAGAGGCTAGAGAAGGTGGGCCTGTGATCAGAAGGTCGCTGGTTCAACTCCCCTGACCGACAACATGAAATTGTGGATGGGAAAGGTGAAGCATCATTTGAGCCCCTCTGGGCCCCAGTCAGCAGCTCCCTGCTCCACTCGGAGGATTGTGGTGGTGTCAGGCTCCCTGCTCCACACAGAGGGATGTGGTGGTGTCAGGCTCCCTGCTCCACTCAGAGGACTGTGGTGGTG